CCCCAAATCCCTTTTGTTCTGAGGGACGATGTTTTTATGCACTGGGAGGAGACTTAATAAAAAATATATATTCCTTAATAAAATATATATATATCCAGAACTTTTAAAGGGATTACGTATATATGTCCTCTCTGACCTCGAGGAGCTGAAGATTGCTGCTGGGGCGAGGAATTCTGGTTTTACCTCCTGGACCTGTTGCTTCCTGGCAACATGAGTGGGAGAAATCATATGACTGGATGGCTTTTATGTTATCATTTTGCAAACCTAACATCCAACATACAGTCCCCTCCAACGGTATTGGAACAGCAAGTCAAATTATCTTGTTTTTTCTTGTGCATTGAAGACATTTGGGTTTAAGATCAAAAGATGAGTCAGTCTCCTCTTCAGGTCTACTTGTTAACTTGTATTTAAATACTCTCAAATGAATTGTAAAGATTTGCTTGAACAAATCAGGTTGAGCGATGAAAACGTGTGCTGTCACTTTAAGACACGCCCCCTTGTCACTCGGTACCACAGCGCAGTGGCTGCTCCTGCTTATAGACGATCTTTGCGGCTAGCCGCTTAAATCTACTGTTGAAGTGTTGAACAACAACCAGCGGCTTTTCTCTGCTAACATCTCCGCGGACTAATGTTTTTCTTAACAGTTTAAACGAACAACTGAAGGAGGGCTGACAAGAAGTAGCTGGTAAGAAATAAGAAGCTTTTCACCCAGAAAACGCAAATAGAGCGCTTAGACTGACAGTTTGTGGCTAGCTGCTGCTTGATTAGCTGAGCATGATAGATGAAAACACCTGGCAGAGGTTGTGTACTAATTTAAATTCGCTTACTGTATTTGTGGTTTTTATCTTGCTGCGGAGGATGAAACGTGTTAAACGTCAAACGTAAAGTGCCTTTCAAAACTACAAGAGTGAAAATGGATCACTTTCATTTTCAGTTTGGGACTACTTTTTCTTCCTGAAATGTATGTTGACAGTCAGTAAAAAGGCGTAAATCGGTTCTTTCTGATTAGTTTTCAGGTTCTGACAGGAGGGTTCTGACTGGTAATGTTTGGACTGTGACCGTCCTGATGATGGAGTAAAGGCCTGGAGTGATGGAGACCCAGAGGAAGAGGTAGGTCTTTGTAAAACAAGCCCTCCCAGAGAGGGGGTAATCCGGTCCAGCTGCTGGATGTGACCACCATGTGACCAGCTTCTGTTTATAACCACAAAACAACCCTGTTCAAGTAAATCTGCCCCCCACACCTCTGCCCCAGCTCCTACAGTGGTTTGTAGAGTTTATAACCAGCTGTGAGAGCTCAGTCAGCATCCACACCATTATTTTCCTCTTTGTTATAGTTTCTTCTGTTTGTTTAAGGAGTAAAACTACTTCTGCTTTTCTTAAACTTTGTTTAAATTTATTAATTACTCAGGAACAGTGCTATTATACGTCCTCAAATATCTAAAGGGGCAATATTATGTGTTTCTCAGGCATATATTTAAAATCTATGCCATAATAAAGTATCTTATGTCACCTTCAGTTGTTATTAAAATGTTGTTTATATGTTTAAATAGAAAACCAACTTGACTTCTCATCATATCTGTTTCTAAACACCTTGGAATTGTCCTCTGTCTCTTTAAGAACCTCCTTCTGCTTCTGCCCCGCCCATTTCAGCACAACAAGCTGGGTGTGTGTGTGCTCTGTGATGAGGAAGCTTGGCTTGGAGACATGTTTGTGATGAGAGGATAACATAACATGATATAAAACTCAAAAAAGTTTATTTTACATGATATTGCCCCTTTAAGTTGCTTGGTTACAAAATTTGTAGGATTAATAAAACAACCTAACCACTAATTTACACTACATGCGTTCCGTCTCCGCTCCGCTCCGACCTCGGCAGCAAATTATAATCCATTATAATCAATGATAGTGCTTACACTGGGGCGGTGAGCGGACGGCGATCCAGCAAAATTAGAACAGATCCTATTTTTGACGGATGCCAGAGCAGCGCCGGAGTCAAATTTTAAAGATTACGTCGCACCAACAGGAAAAGAAACGAGCACAACATCCATATTTTCAAAATAAGACACTTTTTTAGGCTGGATAATTTGTCAGAATAATGTTGAAATTGCAGCTATATTAATAAATACACAGATATATTTCTACACAAATGCTGTCAGAATGTATCGTTCTGTTTGGGAAGCAGATGGAAACATGTAGCATGAAGCATATGTGTACACACACGATACACATGGATTTTATTTTGAAATCAAAAGTTTCAGAAAGCCGACAGCGAGACAGTTTCAACATACGTAGATACCAAAAGTCATTGTTTTCAGCTGTATTTGGAGTGCTGTGACTTCAACACTTATCACTGAATTTATCGCGCAATCTGCTTCCTGCACGTCTGTCGGACCGGAGTGGAGTATAAACTGGACTTGAAACACACAGCTGCGACCTGCGCAACGGAGCGGAGATGCACGTAGTGTAAATCCAGGGTAAAATCAGCGTATTATCAAGATTATCTTTTTTTTTTTTTTTACCTGACGTTGCCTGTGGACCTATTTCTCTTTAAAAAAATAACACATGTTCATCTATGGAAAACTAGACATAACGGATCAGGGTTTTGTTGATTCATGATGTGGGCCTGTCATAGGCTTCACACTGCAGGCAAATGTGACCCATATCAGATGTTTTTCTGACAGTCTGAACGTGACACATCAGAACTTTTTTCAAATCTGACCCAGGTTTTTTCAGTATGTGGTGCTGAATCAGATACATAGATGTTTTTCAAAGCGACCTCTGTCTGAACGCTCCCGTCACGTTTCATCAGACTTTTACATCAGTGAGGTTGGTGTGAAGGATCGCTCCAATAATGATGACACTGACCTTGAGTCACGCTGTTTAAATCTGTAGCTCCACACGTCTTCAGCTACAGAATAAAAGTTCAGTTACTTTGTCCTTGTTTGTTTAAATTTCCATGTCCTGGATGACTGAGAATCCACAGAAACATATGATGGTAGCGTCCAGCATCAGTCTCAGACTGTATCAGTGCTAAAGTCACTGAACTGATACTTTTCTTGAACACTGAACTAAACAAACATGTCAGATAATTATTTAATCGGCTCTGAGGGAACAACAACTTCAGAATCAACATGCTAACATGTAGCATCCATTAGATAATTCTGTAAACAGCCAGATAACTTTAAAATGTAACGTGAACGTTCACACCAAAAATATTATTCTCCCCCAGATGACAAAACTGTTCATGACTAAAGCAGAGCCTGATCACCCTTCAAAGAAAGCCCATTTCCACTACTTGTGTCTGGGATCTTGTTCTTTCGGTCATCATCCTCACCTCATGACCATAGGTGAGGCTTGGAATGGAGACAGACCAGTAAATCAAGCGCTTTTCCATTTTGAATAACCTTTTTTTTTACCACAACTGACAAAAGCAAAGCCCTCATTATAGAGGATGAGACCCAGATTTGTCCATCCTTCTGTTGCTCCATCCTTCATCCAGATACTTGAACTCCTCCACCTGTAGTAAAGACTCCTCATCCAACCCTGAGAGGGCCTTCCACACATTTCTGATTAAAAGCATGGCTTCAAACCACCCCAGTGTCTGCAGAAGGTCTTGGCCCAAAGAAAACTAAACCATATCATCTGCATGAGGTGATTCGAGGAGACAAGGTTCCCAAACCAGGCACTATCCTTAGCTGCACCATGAGATCCTGTCCATAAACACCACTAACAGGACCAGAGACGAAGGTCAGCCCTGGTGAAGTCCACCCTGCTGAGCGTGAGCAGCTGTGTATCCACAGCACCCCCACAGAACGCCTCGAGGAGCAGGCTCAGAACTGAAGAGTCGACTCCCATGATCCTGTTAGCAGCTCTGCAAGGACCAACATCTAAAAACATCATTCCACCTTACATTTACTGCAAACCTGCTGTGTTACTGAGCTTTGTGGCTTGTAGCTTTTAGCTAGGATTTTGCTGTTTTTAGCTTTTGGTTAATGTTTGTTTATTTTTTATGCTATTACTCTGCTTTTTATCTATACTTTATTTAAGCATTGTTTCATTTTGCTGTTGTTGCTGCATTTTCTATTGTTTTGCTACTTTTATCTTTTTAGCTAGCATTTTTGTGGATTTTGGCTAGAATATTTGGGGGTTAGCGTTTTAGCTAGTATTTGGCTGCTATTAGCTTTTAGGGGTTTGTTTGTTCCTTTTTTATTGTTGTTGCATTTTGCTAGCAAAATGGTGCTTTTTGTTCATGTTCTGTTTTTTTTTTTAGTTAGAACTTAGTTGCTTTTTTAGTGTTTTGCTGCTGTTAGCTCTTGGCTGATGTTTTGCTGCTTTCAGCAACAAATTTCATTAAACATATTCAGCACCTATTTAACACTGCACTTTCACAGCAAATGGCTTTTCTCTAGTTTCTTTTATATTTAGCTTTGAAGAAGCCAAATTTATAATCATGTGAAGTGGTTCTGCAGACTTTGGCTGATTTTACTTGCTGCAAAGATTTTTAATCTGCTAGATTAGTTTTTTTTTTCTAAATCTGCTAAATTTTCTCTCAGCTTTGAAGAAGATGATGCTGGGGGGCGGGGCCTCCTCCACACCTGGAAGGGTTACTCGTACAGCGTCAGCCCTGAGAGGCTGCTCCTCCCGCGGCCGGTGCTCCAGGTGGCTCTGGGCGTGCAGCACGGCGTCCTGCTGGTGGATGGTGAGACTTTATTATTGGATTAGTCAAACAGAAGAGAGCTGACAGGAAAATAAGTTCTGAACACCTCAGTGTTTTTCTACATATCATAATGGTTTTAAAGGTTTTGTATAAAAACTGGAGCCTGGTCGGGGACCTTTCTGGGTAGAGTTTGCGTGCTCTCTCCTGGTACTCCGGCTTCCTCCCACAGTCCAAAAACATGACTGTTAGGTTAATTGATAACTCTAAATTGTGCCTAGGTGTGAGTGAGAGAGTGAATGGTTGTTTGTCTCATTTGTCTCTGTGTGTCTCTGTGATGGATTGTGACCTGTCCAGTTTGTACCCCGCACAGTGACTGCTGGATGTGGGCACCAGTGACCCTGAATGGAACAAGCAGGTTAAGATCATAGATGGATGTATAAATCTTAGCACCATATAAAGGTGCTAAGTTGTGGCAAAGTTTTTGACAAATTTTCATTTTTGTGCCGTTTCATTTATTAAATTGAGTGATGTTCCAACTGTGATCAGATTGTGTTTGTAGTTGTTTATAGGAAGTGGTTTAAAAACAGGCATTGAATAAATAATTTAGAGCATAAATGTCATACATTTAGGGCTTTTATTAAATTATTTTAAGTGTTTTCTTTTCAGGTTGGAATAATTCTGAAATATACAACTTTTTAGGATTTGAAAAAAAAAATAATAATAATAAATTGAAGAATCATTCCAGTGTCGAAAAAACATTCCAGCGTCTCTTTAAAAGGCTAAAATATTGATTCGTTTCTCATTAACTTTTGAGTTTATTTTTGATGCTTGTTGAAAAATGTTTCCATTTAAAGGGATCCATGATTAGTTGTAACATTAGACTTTATTTAATAAACAAATATTTTAATTGTAAAATAAAGACTGTAAAAATACTGCAGGATGTTTAGTATTTATCATTTTTAAACTAAAACTTTAAAATTATATTACACAGACGGGGCCATTTATTCACACACAAAGCATTCTGGGTAAATGATGATGTGGACAGGTCCTCGGTGCGAGGCTGCTAGTGAGCTATATCCACCCTGAAGGTTAATCTTGGACAATATCTGATGATCGACTCTTTTAAATGAAACCAGAGAGCGTTGACAGAGAGGAGAAGGTAGAAATGACTCAGCCTGTAACTGAAAATATGGATGGAGGACAACAGAGCTGCTTCATGGAAGAAGAACCTCGGCTTAGCCTGTTAGCCCTCACGCTATAATACCTTATATGTATTAGATTGGTACTAGCGCGACAAACAAACAAGCTAAACTGAGGTCCTCCATCCATATTTTCAGTTACAGGCTGAGTCATTTCTACCTTCTCCTCTCTGTCAACGCTCTCTGGTTTCATTTAAAAGAGTCGATCATCAGATATTGTCCAAGATTAACCTTCAGGGTGGATATAGC